GTGCGCCGGTTGCTTCATCCACCTCCTGGCGGACGCCCGGCTCAAAGAGGAACAAGCCACTTGCCCCAATTGCCGCTGCGAGATCAGCAAGAGCCTGTGCTGCCGAAATTTGGCCGTGGAAAAAGCCGTCAGCGAGCTGCCCTCCGAGTGCGGCTTCTGCATGCAGCAATTCCCCCGATCCCTCCTGGAGAGGCACCAGAAAGAGGAGTGCCAGGACAGGTAAAAAAAGATTTATTTATTTGTTTGGTTTTTTTTTTTTCCCTTCATTTTGGCAAAGTGCTGGTGCTGCCGGTGTCGCCGACGCGGCTTGCGGTGCTCTTGCCGCCGGCACAGGGGGATGCGAAGGGGTTGGGAAACCTCTCCGCTCGGAGCCGGGCGTCCCGGTGAAGCCGGAGTTCGCGTGGTACTGAGCCCCTCCGCAATCGGGGCGCCGTGGGTAGGAGGGTTTCTCCGGCTTGCCGGTGCTACCGGGATGCGGTGCCCCCTCCGGCCCCCGGTATGAGTTAGTTCTGCCCCAAATCACCCACCGGCCGTGTCCGGCTGCCCCGGGGAGGACGAGATGCCGCTTTGGCGCACGATGGAGCTCCCCCATCCCTTCTTGCCGGCATCCACCGTGCCCTTCGGCAACTGCCGGCGTCCCACGGCAACCCGTCACGCTGCGGCGCAGGCGCTACCCGATGATTTTTCACGGGGCGTGATACAACTTTCCGGGATTTGCCGCTCCTGCTCTCGTCTCACCCGGCGCTGTCGCATCCGAATTCACCCGGATGAGTTTCGGCTCATCCCTTCCCTCCTCGCTGTGCCGGGAGAGCCGGATGCGTCTCGTTTTTTTCGCGTGACTTCCCGATCCGGTGAATATTCCCGCTTATTTTCTCTCTCCTCCGCCGTCCCGCAGGGTGACCCAGTGCAAATACAAGCGGATCGGTTGCCCGTGGCAAGGTCCTTACCACGAGTTGACGGTGCACGAAGCCGAATGCACCCACCCCACCAAAACCGGCAACGAGCTGATGGAGATTTTAGACGAAATGGACCAAACGCGGAAAAAAGAAATGCAGCTTTATAACAGCATCTTCAGCCTGCTCAGCTTCGAGAAGATCGGCTACACAGGTAATGGCTCGCTCGGGACGGC